ATTGTTCAGCCCGAGCTGCTTTCGGAAAAGAAGCGTCATAGCCGTTGGGAGTGAGACAATGGTGGCCAGCGATGGTACATGCTGCACTACATCAGTCTGTGGCGAGGCGCAGTGGAATGTGGTAGAGCCGCCTGGCGCCAACCGAGTGATGAGTCAGGCCCTATAGCCCAGATGATGGTGTTGAAAGAACTACGCCTTGTGGTTGCTTGGAAGCCTGAGGAATGGGATGGTGGCTGTCGTACGCACTGGGGGGGCTTCAGTTGATGTGTTTGGGGGAAAACGGAAGTCGTATTTATCGGCCTTGCGCATTGCTTGCGTGGACGCTAAAACGCTGCATATTCCCGGCAATACGGATAGCAATTCAGTCTGTCGCTTCGATGGTTCGGCCGTGAGGCATCACTTGTTTATTATTACAAATTACAACAAAAGTTCGCTTCCATAAATTGGATTCATTATCGCAAATTTGGTTTCGACCGCACTAAAGTTGGCTGGCAGGATCCCCCACGACCTTTCCACACTGTCTGGCTTGCCTGGACACTTTGTGACCCCCAATGCTGGAATATTTTTACTGTGGCGGATGCCTACGAAACATCAAGAGGCGGCGCTCATACGGGCCGCGTTCTCCCTCTTCTGGGCTCTTTGGCCCAATAATGCGGTCCGATCCTAGGAACCCCCGTTCTCAGAATTTACCGGAAGAAAATATTCCGCGAAACTTACCCTGTTCTGTCCGTGGGTGCCAGTCTTTTATGCTCTGTGGCGGGTGGATGATAGCAGCGAATTATAACGGCACCAACCAAGCACCTCTGCCAATATTTAGGGCATAATCCAATCTATATTGGTTCCTTTACTCATTAGATCCCGGTCATCACACAGCTTTTCGAGAGGACATGTTTCAGGTGCAGACAAGGGTCCAACCCATCAATCGCGTTCGCCTCGCTTGTCGATGCAGTCCCCTCCTTCCTATCTAGCGGACATCGCAGGGGCGTCATTTCCAATGTTTTCGCGGTTGAATGGCGCGAATTGGTTGAAGAACCATCGAGAAACTTGGGAATTTCTCATTTCTCAGGGGTGGCAACGAAGTTACCGTTGATATTCCACAGATCATCACTCCAAGGGATGGGTCCGATATGGCAAGACTTATTCTCTAGGTTTGCGCAACTAATGCGATTGGACCAGTCGAGGGAGCACCTCGGGAGCTTCGGCGCGCATGGAGGAATGGCTTTGGAAGAGACCGTCACCCCCATTTTCCCTTCCCCTACATTTTTCCAATGTGATGCACGGCACGAGGACCGAGAGCACCCTTGGGAACGTTTTAATGCAGGCGTCTCATCTCTTTCTGTCAATGCCGGCCAATTCTAACCCTTCCGCCACGACTTCTTCATCGTCACCGTTGGCGGGTGCCAGTGTGAACACAGCTCTTTTATCTCTCTTGTCCCCCGGCCCACGAATTCATACCAAGCCAACCATTCGGAGCTTTTCCGTCCTTTCGCTTTCCACCCGCTGGCGCGCTCGCGTCGGACAGTGCAGTTGTGGATCCACTTTCTAACATCGTCGACGCTTCCCACATCTACTCCTTTCTGACCGGACTTTCTCCCGCTACTCTCAACTCTGGGCAAGGGACTGTAGAAGTAGCCGTACTGACCGGCGCGTTCGTCCTCGCATTTCGCATCGCATTTTCGGATTTCATTCGTCCTCACTGTTGTGCTCAGCATGTCGGGTCAATATTTCGTCAGCCTTCGAAGATTAGGTGGCAACTATCTTTCGCTGGGCGTTCCTCTCGAGGCGTTTCTCTCAGCATGTCTCGCAAGAACGGTGTTCTCTTTTGTTTCAAGATTCGAAAATTCCGATGCGGCTAGACTTTGCCTGCGAAACCTTTCAGGCGGAGCTAGAAAAGATCTCCTATCAAATAGGCAACCTGAATATGGTCAGTCCTGACTCTCTGCGCAGAATCCAAGACCCTCGACACTTTCAAGCATGTTGTCAGGCTATGCGCTACTCACCAAGCCGTTTGGAAGGATCAAGCCAAGTATCTCGCGGGTTCCAATTGGTCTCTTAGGCATGCAGACTACTCGTTTGTCACCGATGCCGTGCAAATCCCTAGTAGCCGTAGTACCCTTCTTTTGATAACATTCTCCCAGGTTTCCGAAGCTTGGAATCGTGTTGCCTGTGCTTCAGAACACCTAAATGCGCGGAGAGCTCTCCATACTCCATACTTTGCTACGTTGAGCTAGCTAGTCTTTCCCAATAATACCCTATTCCACTAAAGACATCTAATATAGCCAGCGGTAAAGTTGGCCCTTCGATTGGAAGCCCTGTAGGGCCTTGTACGAGTCTTCGTCATTTTTTGTTCGGCATACTGATGTCCTTGCGCTTAGGCAGTTGTATCTAAGTGTTCCCAGCGGGCCATGTTCGTAGGCTTGATCAGGCATCGATGCTTACACTTGACTCTATTTCGTAATATCGTCAGTTGGGGTGGTTTGTGATGTGTGTTCTCCGTGGATCGTGTAAATTCCCTGGCCCTTGATCCGCATTCCTGACGCCCTGCGCGTTCTAGAGAAAAGGCCATGATTAAAGGTTTTGGTGCCGTTATAGACTGAACCGCAATCTGGTCCATCGACTACCTGCCATAAACCATTTGGCACCTAGTCCATCAGTGGTTGCAGGCTACGTGCTTTTATCCTCAGTTCCTCCCCTCTCATCTACTCAGGTCCCCATAAAACCTTTTCATCCAGAGTTTACGAACCAGGAGAACCCATCTGCGTTCTGCACGGGACAACGGCGAGGCATCAAAGCGTCTTAGGTGCCAGGATCGGCATACTATTGGGCCACGTCCTCTGTCGAGCATGCTGAGCATGTCGAATTGGCTCATTGAGAAACTTTACATCATCTTCAGTGTGCCCGGGGCTCTTATTGGTGGCGCTAACAATGTTGTTGTGCGAGCCTTGCCTTGGTTTATATTGGGTTTAGCATTGCAATTTTGTATTCGACGCACGTTCTCAGTCTGCATATTAGCTTCTCCACTGTCGCCATGACACAATCGAAAATAAGAGCCAGTCCTTGGCTGGGGCCCAGCGAGTTCCTTCTGAAGAACCGCACCCACCGTCGAAAGGCAACTGCAACACTGTTACATATACAATGCCAATGCCCCCTGATATCAATCCCTCTTTCAATGATGACGCCCTCAGCATGTTCCTGTTATTGGCAGATCCGATCCAGCATTGGAGAATCGTGTACTTGGGTAAGGACACAGCACGCGGCGGTTGGGCCTTTTTTCTTAGCGATGGAGCTCTTCGTTCGTATCGACTCATCTGGAACGAATTCTGGAGCTTAGATATGACGGAGGGTGAACAATGATGACGTGGTTCCATTTAGGGCATGTGTCCGTTGGGACAGCGGAGTTGGCCGAATTCATTTGCTGTACAACACCAGACTAACCCTGAAGATGTTGCACAGCGATGTGAATGGTACTTCGGGTCCCTAGTCACACTTCCGCGTGACAGAGGCTGCGGGGTAATAACTTAAACAAGACAGACCATCATACAGCCTTCACCTCAGTGTGTTGCAGACATGCCTGCTCGCTTCACAGCCCAAGAGGGACATGGTCCCTGAATAATGGCTAAATCCCGTTTTTCACTCATACAACCTGCTGTGCACATTCCTACGCGCTGAAGTCCCGCGCAGCTTCCTCAGAGATAAAAACAATTAGCTATAAATGAGTTGACCCTCTTTTCTGAGGTGTGGTCTCGGGCCTTAGCTTGTCCCGCCAATTCGACGATTGTCCCTTTCTCTGCGTCTCGGGCAGTAGGACTCGCTGCAAAGTGCGAGTTTGTTAATCGTCCATCCAGTTTCACAAGCCGGACACCTTTCTACCAAAGGACAACGACATGTGTCAATAGCACTAGCAGTGCTGCCTTTCCAGCATCAACATCATCTTCGATCCCGTGAGCCGCTGCGCCCCTCATGTGCGCGCAATACGACCAATTGTTCATCACAGAACTTCCCATGATCATTGGGCAAATATTCACTGGATTGTCTGCATTTTGTTTCTCGTTTTTACTTGATTGTCCCGAGAGCCCCCACCAAGCGTCTCGTTTCCGTCCCTGACTGTCTCATTGCCGCCTCCACCTTCCGCCTCTGACGGCGGACATCTCACTAGGGCCTGCGTCACCCACACCAATATGGGAAAATCCCTACGCCACCCCCCTCAAGACGGATGCAAGGGTCTGGAGTTGCGCCATATGTTATGAAGAGATGGACAGTACACGCCCGCCAACAGTGGGTGCACCATGCGGACACTTTCTTCGCTGCATATGCCGAGAGCTCGTTCTACGCCACGCCTTAGAAAATGGTGAAACATCGACCTGTCATATGTGCTGTTTATCATATGAACGGACGCAATAACGGACGCTCAGAACAGAAGCCAACCATCACAAATACCTCGCCCATCGCGGCAAGCGCCCCCCATTCCCACGCTTTGTGACCTTTGGCGTACATCCAGAGATGCAACTGTGGCTATGGAGTTTGCGTGATTCATTCAACGTTCTCCTTTCGGTGGGGCTTTGGTGTGAAAGCAGACGACTCATCTTTCCATCGCTCACCTGTCGCATATGGAATATTACAGCGGATTGCAATTGCTTGTGATTTAGTGATTCGTCGGGGGCAGGAGAACAAAGAGAATGGTAATGGCACGATATTGCGAATGGTCACTCTTTCTGTCCAAAGTACGGATATTACTATATTGCAATCGGCGTAATGTAATGAGACTGTTGAAAATGACGCATAACGAACCCAATTGTCACTAACATGCCTGAATTGATCAGTTTTGGGTGCGATACGGATTATGATCTTATGTCCAGGGGAGCAGGATGTGCGTGTAAGTGCTGCCGGAAGCACTCTTTCACCCGACACAAAGTGATTCCTACTCAGCGTGTAATATACAAGCATATTTATGGCTACAATACGACTGAACGTATCCAAGAAGCAAAAATCGATGGTATCTGCTACTCGGCAGCTTTGCCTGTCTCATCCCGAATACCATTTTCGGCGAAGTGCAAGATGCCGGAAATCTGCAATAATTTCACGATCTCCTCCGCCTCGACCACGGTCATCTTCGAGAGCAGCTTGTTAACCTTTTCCAAACTGTTCGATTGCAACGCTTTCTTAAGCTTTTCGTCAAACCCTTGGTAAATCTCCCAACGTGTTTGTAGAGACCTTCGGACCTCCTCAACGTCAAGGTCTTCTGCTCCTGGGCCTTCCAGAATCAAGGTCTCCGGAGGAGGTCCATCTGGAATGTTGAAGGAGATGACAGTGTCGGGTTTCTCAACAACGAGCTGTATTGTTTCGATTCCGCCAACTTTCTCCTGTCGAGCCTTCTCTTGCAGGTTAATCTTCGCGCGCTTCACGACGAGATCATATGTTCCCTGGGCATCATTTAGGAATAGATCTATCGCTTTTTGCTGACCAGACATCATCCTACGATGTAACAGATAAGCAAATGTGCTTCACGACGGTTGGACGAGCCAACGTACCGTTTGAAGAACATCCCAACGCCGTCCCGACCAAGCTTCTCACAGTACTGGATCAAAAGACTCTGGTGAACGCACTGCTTTGCGTACACGGATTTCCCCTCCATCTGGGCATTGAAAGCCTGTAGAAGTAGAGCATCTGTAGCACCCTCGACGAAGATCGTCCGATCCTTTTGGATGAAGGCGTATGATGCTGCGAAATCACCGTAAGGAATTTTTGAAAATTCGAGGAGAGCTGGTGAGATGTCAGGGATTTCGGTGTCATCATCGCTGTCGGAATCGTTTTCTTCATCTTTCTTCTTTGGTGCAGGGGGTTCTGTCGTCTTAGCCTAAATAAAAAATGAGATGGGAGTACCGATTTTTGGGATGAGAGAGAACACACTGATGGACTGTTCAAGGTCTGAATGGTTGTTGTCGTTTTCTTTTCGGGTGCCTTTTTTGACGGGAGGACCTCAACTGGCTCTGGGGCCTTCGGGGGTGGCATATACTGCGGAAATGCAAAAATGTTTTCTATCAGGTGTGTCCATAGTCAAGCAGAATTATACACTACCTTGGAATTGAAACCATCGTGGATATCATCCGATGTAATCTTCTTCGTTTGTTCCTTCTTTTCTTCCTCTAACTGTTCAGTGGCTTCCTTGTTTCTCTTGGTAAGCTTCTCGATATGCGAGTCAAGCTGTGCAACTAGCACCGGTCCAAGCTTGTCGGTATCGGTGGCCGAGATCCCCTTCTCCTTCACTTCCTTATGCACGGTAAGAAGTAAACTCTCAATCATAGCATCGTAGGTGAGTTGGTTTGGCGCATCGGTGGGTTTGTCTGGAGAAGGTTGAGTCTTTAATCGCTCGACGAGCTGCGAGTAATACGCCGGGCCGCCCTCTGCTAAGTCGTTCGAAATTTGCCTCAAACGGGGCAGAAGGACTGCATTAGACTTGATCTCTGCCTCGAATTGGGCGATGCGTTTCTTGCGCGCCTCACGCTTTTCGTGAATATCGCGCTGTTTCCATCTTTCATGGGTAGAATGCATGAGATTTCCATTCGTCAAGGCTTTGCTCAGGAATGAGGTACCTTACTAAGCTGGCATGGTCAACGTTCGGATGTCCCTCGATGTCCGAATCATCCGAGATCTTGGTTTGACCAACCACGTCATTGATCTCGATCGGATGACGGCGGTTAGTTTACGCACTCACCTCGAGTGCGTCCCATCTCCTGTAGTTGCTAGAGTAATTCGGCATGTCCACCTTTCAAGTACCAAAGCTTTAACGTAGACTTGGATTGGGGATGATGCTGTAGAAGTTACTGGATGATTTAACTGATTGGAAACTGAATAAATGCCAATTTGATTATGTAACGGAGTGATAGGCGCTTCCCCGACGACGCTCGAGTCAGCGCTTTTATTAAGGCCAGGAATGGCACCTTCACCAATCATGCTCTTGAAGGCACCACCTCTCTCACCAACGTTGATGATACAGCACTAAGAAGACACGTACATGATCCCCAGTGAGAAACAAACATAACAACTTCAGGCGCTAATTCGAGCGCAGAACTCCATTGACATGTTGGCACAAGATGGGAAAGCTTCATAAGCTGCCCACTGGGAACATATGAAACGAGAAAATCAAAGTCCGGTGCACCAAATTAACGCAGTCCTAAGAGTTCTCCGATGTCACTTTCACTATCAGCGTCACTCTCCGGTTCGCTCTCTAAACCAAGGCCATGGACAAGCTCCAATGCAGCCTTCGCTGCAGCCCTCCGTTTTTCTTGAGGGTCCTTTATGTGGGATATCTCTTCCTTCGTAGCTTGTAACTGAGCAAAGACCTGGGATAAATCAAAACGTATATCTTCATCATCCGAACCATCGAATCCAATGTCGCGCAGGTCAGAAGAGGAAGAATTGGTGCTTCCGCCAAAAATACGGTGTGTGGTGGATTCGATCTCCCTTTTGGTGGGGTCCCACGCTTTGGGATGATCGTCCACGAAATATCCCCCTTCCTTCGTGGCTCCAGATGACTTAGACAGCTCGGATGACCTTGGAACAGGGGTGGCGAATGGTGAAATATCTTTCGGGAGGTTGCGAGGTGTAGGATCGGAGAAGTATTCACCGAAATCATCAGTGAATGCTTTAGGGGTCTTCATTGCTGGAAGGGACTCTTCGAAATCCCCTTGGGGATCGGGGGTGGGAGCTTCTTCGAGCCATTCTTCCAGAGCTTCGATATGTTTCTCGTCGATAGTACCCCCGTGAATTCGTGAAGCAAATAAGGACAACACAACTTCGTCGGAGAGGTGCTCGGTAGACACATTGAGAGATGTGCTACCACCTATAGTCGATGGGTTCTCAGCTATTTCAAGGGAAGCGGTGAGGGTGGTGTTATTGGGTGCAGCACGAATGGATTTTGAAGGGTCATTGCGGACGAGAGATGGCCATTTGATAGAAGAGAGTGCGTCTATGAGGCGTGGGATGCCTAGTATTGACACTGAAAGTGATGATGGTGAGAAGTGTCATTCAACCCGACAATCGTCATTATGCCCTCACCTTCATCATCGGGCGATGCAGAAGTTGCGTGTGCTAGAACATATTCAAACCCATTGTCCGCAAAGAAATCATCAGTATCTGAATCATCGCTCCTGCCCTGAGGGGTTTCGGCGTTCGGCAATGAAACCCCTATTGTCTTTTCTTCCGATTCAAAGGCCAGAGCTAAATTTACTTCTGCGTTTTGGGCCTTCCATGCAGGTAATACCTGCAAGAAAGTCGCTCGAGCCGCTGGCTGTGGGTAGTCAATAGCCACACTTTACTCCAGTATGATGACAATCCACGCACATCGCCTTTCTTGAAGACGTAAATAACTGCAGGGCAATGTGTATCGTCGGTAATGGGTTTGGTCACCGAGTCTGATGGCAAAGCGACATCCAATGTGTTCTCCCCAATGGGAGGGGGGATGAAGAAGTGCACTGCCGCTGTGTAGTATTTGTTGGTGATTATCCATGGGATTGTCTTTCCGTTTGGCCCCTCTGAAACCTTTCCATGTTGGCCTCCGGTGATCACTGCGGACCCACAACATAGGTTCTAGCGACATCGACGATGAAGACGATTAACGCACATTCCACTGCCTTGAGCGCAAGCTCAGAATCACGATCCGCGACGACAACGATCTCGCAGGAGGTGTCCATGGGGTGAGAGACCTAGGAGTTGGGCCGGCTTTGGACCGGCGAAATCTAAATCGAGCAATCAGACTCGTGATCATATTTGAATACCGAGTGGCTGTTCAAGCCTGTCCGAAAAACGTCTCGACGACATGGCCAAGTCCAAGCTTGCCGCAACACAACCAGAACCAGAAAGGGAGAAAAAAGAGAAAAAGAAGCGGGGAGAAAAGAAACCAAAATCAACTCCACCTCCTGCTCCCGCTGCGGTCCCTTCTGACCGTGAGGAAGAAGGCGAGGAAGTCCAGGAGCCACAAGAAACAAACGAGGATCATAGCAGCGACGCAGTTGAAACGGTGGATGGGGAGGAGAACGAAGAGCAAGCGCCATATTGGAGCACTGACGAAGAAGAGAGCGAAAGTGGGAACGAAAGAGCTGTCGTTGAAAACATTTCAAAGGTCAAGACAGGCACAGTGCAGAGGGGCAAGGTAGGTTACTGGTAAGGCGTTACTCTCTGCTTAGTAATTACCATTTTTCAGGAAGCCCTACAACGCATACGAGAAACCATAAAGCTCGATCCCTCATTGCCCTGGACCGATCATCTAACCTTAACGTACCCTGAACCATTGGGCATCACGAACCCCGATGATGACCTACCGAGGGAGCTAGCCTTGTCAGTGCACTTATTGCTTGAAGCAGAAAGCATCTAACATCCTCTCTTAGTTACAAGCAAGCCCTCTATTGTGCCAACGAAGCAAAATCCTTGGCCAAAAAATATTCCCTCCCATTCTCCCGTCCATCCGATTATTTCGCTGAAATGGTCAAATCAGACTCGCACATGGAACGTATACGACAGGGGCTTCTGAACGAGTCTGCTGGAATTCAGAAGAGTGAAGAGGCGCGTAAGCAACGAGAGTTGAAGAAATTCGGGAAGCAAGTTCAGGTTGAGAAACTAAAGGAGCGCCAGAAGACGAAGAAGGATATGGAGGACAGATTGAAGTCTCTTAAACGGAGTGAGTTGACCTCCTAGCTTATGGTGTCCGGTTCCTGCTCATCACCTTTGCGTCATCAGAAAGAGGAAAACAAGGTCTTGGTGGTGGTGGTGACGATGGCGATGACGAATTCGATGTTGCGGTCGAAGATGCCGTGGAAGATAATCCCAAGGGAAATAAACGCGCTAAGACTGGTTCGGGTCGCAAGAAACCACGGATGTCCCGGGAGAAGCGAGATGCCAAATATGGCTTTGGCGGTAGTAAGAAATGGAGCAAGTCAAACACGAGAGAGAGCACGAATGATTTCGATTCTGGAGCGAGACGAAGAATTGGGACGAAAAAGGCAGGGAAGCCCGCCAAGCGGTACGCCGTCACGATACAGTCTCCTGCCGAAAATTCTCGGCTAACTTATCCCCTTAGGCTTGGGAAATCTCGTCGACATGCTACACGGTCACGGAAATAAATTCGCTTTATTGATTAAGTTGACAACTTGAAGCGAGGGCTGCCGTCTTACTGTCAAGCCGTTTCACCTTGTATCTCTCTGGAACGCTGTCTTTATGCATTATTCAATTCCAGCAACAGCGTGAACATTTGGACCCAGCTGAGGCGAGCATACAAGGGATCAGATTATCAATTACACAGGCACTAAGGCAGAAAACCAACGGCAAATAAGCCGAAGCTTAATGTCTGCCTCGGCGCACAGGGCTCGCGCTCCTCCTAGGTGGAGTGAAAGACCGCCTATCATCTCTATTCCGGTGTGCTCGCCGGTCATCGTAACGTCGTTCGCGAGAACGCGCACGGGCATGGAGATCAGACCGGGAACGTGACGAAGATCTGGATGATGAGCCAGATGATGACCAGGACCTGGAACGGGATCGAGGACGGGATCGTGACTCGCCACGAGAACGAGATGAACGCGAGTCAGAATCAGAGTAAGAACCCGAGCTTGAGCTGCGCGAATCAGAATCAGAATCGGAACTGTGGGATGAATGGGATGAAGATGAACGAGAAGATGAGCGGGAAGGGGATCTGAATCGATATGTGCATCAGTGGAATGAAGTTTCAAAAGCGAACAGTTGACCGACCGCTTAGACTTTTTGCTCTTCTCGCGCTCTTTCTCCTTTGCAGCTAGTATAGCATCAGCAGTCCCAGCGACGATTTTCTGTTGTCTTCGTAGATGGTCAACTTCAGAAGAGGGGAGTCTCAGAAAACCACACACTTCGGCTTGAACTCTTCCGGTAGTTCCACACTTGGTTCATCCCTAGGCTTCAATAACTCGGGCTTTTCGAGCACCGCCGTCCGAGAAGGTCGTGCGAGATACGGCTTTTGATTCTTGCACTCATAGATAAAGTGGCCTGATAACAGGAAAATGTAAGCGGCTAGCCACGACCATCGGACCGAGACAAAATTCACCTTTCCCAAGGCACTTCTGACACACTGTTGAAGATGTTGCCCTCGGGTTATTCGTAGATCCACGCCCGCCGAAACGGGAAGCCATATAGGGCAAACTTCAACCACCAAGCAGAGAAGAATTCTGGAAACTACCGCATGTGATCCCTTCCCACGCCTCTCATCGCTAGCAGCTAAGCTAAAATCCATGGTGCCCCGACTGTCGGGTTTGCAGAAGCAAGTCCTTTCATTGTACAGAAGGTAGGAAGTGGGGAGGAGATGACGAGGCCATCTGTCTCATCTTATTATATTTGCGGACAACTGTAGGGCTCTAAGAATGACGCGTTCAAAACCTCCCGAAGCGCAACTTAAGTTTCGCCTCTTCGTGAATTATCACTTCCATAAGAATGCTTCATCTATATTGGCTCGAGATGTCGGCACTGTGGAGTATCTACTTCGGCAGGGGACAAAGCAGATTGAAATGTACGAAAACAAGTCAATACGAGATTGCTGGGTGACAAATGAGATGTTGGATTGGGCGCGAACAAGAAAATGCGGCGTCAGGGAGGAGATATAATGTAGAATTAATGATCATGCAGTAATGTACACGTTTTGATTATGTTGAGAAAGTTGGGCTTTCACCCTGGGGTGTAGATGTGGTGGATGCTGGTGTAGTAGGTGTAGTGGTTGAAAGAGGGGTTGTAGCGGGTGGGGTAGGACTACTGGTTGTGGCGGTATGACCACTCATTTCAGATGATGCTTGGGATACATTGCTCCCTTGCCCCTTTGACACGAGTTCAACAGCGCCAAGGTAGGCTAGTCTCCTTTCGTTCAGCACTTGTTTTATGCGCGCCATGGATTTCCGACACTGCAGTGGGGAATGAGTTGATGTGATGCATGAGGTTAGTTGCACTAGCCTTAATATCCTTGTCAATGGTGGACGTGTGTTGTTTCGGATCCAGGCCAATTCGCCGTGCCGTCTGGACTTGAGTGGCCAGCAAATTACGCTCGCGCGCTAGGAGATACCAAAGGGTATGTAGGTCGTTGAAACTCTTCAGGCGGAGCTCGTCGGCGGACCAGGAACGACCTATGCAATATGTCAAACCAAAGTGAGGCGATGGAGCACGAGGTAATCATACTGCTTTCATCTTGCTCTCCAGGTGCCTCTAAGATAGTCCAGCCCCTCTCTTTCTTTTTTAACCCCACTCGCCGGAAGAAGGCGTACAACGGATGTTCATCGCTTAGCTTCTCAGTTTTCATCTTAGGTCTCAGGCGACCTTTTTTGGGGTCAGAAAGTGGCGCGAGCGAGTCGACCTCCGGTTCTCGCTTTGGCGTGGCTTCTGCAGCTCTGCATCCTTCATCCCTAGTAAACGTCGCAGGAAGCCCAGTCTTCTTTTGGGTGGTTGAGGTGCATTATCCGATGGGGTCGATGTGGAAGTGGACGACAGAGCCTTTGAAGGGCCATCAACGGTTGTCGCAAGTGATCGATAGATAACATATTGGGTACGTAGCAAAGATGGGGGTCTGGAGATCCGCATCTTGAGGAGCGTGAGAAATAAAAACATTTATGAGTGGCCTCGGTCACAACAGACAGAAACAGGTGCAGCTGCTGTTGTTTGCTCCATCCTGGGCATCTCGGGATTTGTCCTTGTTGGGTGATATTGCAAGGAACAAAGCCATAATTGGGGGGATTCCCATGCAGACGTAGCCTGGAAATCATCTGATGCAACTTGCAGCATGCTTTGAGATCATCCGTTCTTGGGCAAATCGCAGGTGACCGGAAGAAGAGGCAAATGCAATGGTTCAGAATTTAAAAATTAAGGAGCCGTATCAATTTCAAGTTGCATGAAGGCATTCCGATTCCTAGAGCTAAATGTTGTGGAATAGTCGGGCGCTCTGGCACCCAGCGTTTGAACTGTTCATGAAGTTTCTTGATTTGTGCACAGCGGACTGCTCATTTGAGTCGCGCGGAATATATTCTCGCGCACAGACATTTCCAGGATTGCCCGATGCTTCCGTTTTTGGAGTCCATGTTGATGGACGCAGTCGAGGATGGTGCCCTTAAAATTAAAAGCCACAAGCGCAATTTTCTTTCCTCCCCTCAGTTCACATACTTGGAACTGAAGTGAGATCCCCTTCATCTTTTGGAACGTAGTCTTAGACGTTCCGACATTGTATGTACTTTCCTAGCGCTAATACACCGCTAGGTAATTATTAAGTTCACATACTTGGAACTGAGCGCTCATACGATCATATTCTAATATGAACACCAGCAGTGATGCTCTGGGTTATCAGGTAGATTTTTAACAATGACGCCCGGCGCTGTTGGGACTATCACGTGTGGATTTTGTAAGGTGACGCTCTCGAGCTTGATTCGATCTTTTCATGGCATTATGTATCGATGGCGTGGAGGCTGATGAACCTGTCTCTATTAGCCCCCTATTGAAATGCCTCCTAAACGTGCCATTGGGTTGGCGAAAGCGAAAAAAGCGAAACTAGCTGAGGATGATCGTGAAGCGAAGCGACGGCGGACAGACAATGGCGAGGTGATTGAAGACCAGGCTGATACTGCTCAAGTAACTGATGGCGACTGGGGAGATTTGAAGGAGCTCTATGCGCGTGTTAAGAATGCGGCGGATGAAGGTGATGTGCTCTTCAGAAGTTCTCGTTACATTGCTCAAATGTATTGTCCAACAGAGGGACCAACGAAAGCACTTCCTTGGCTTCGGGGTGTTCTCCATGATTGTGATCGGATTATCAGAAACGTTCCTGACCCTAGCCAACTCATCGTCAATGGAGCTCCAGATCCAGGATCCGATCCTTATGCCGTGCATTCGTCATTTTACTCTCTCTATGCCAACGCAATATTGGATATTGGGGCCATCGTTGGTAAGGAACCAGATTTAGTTGTGGAGGGAGAGCCGGATTCGCTCGAAGATTATATTGGTGCTGCATTTGACATATTGGAGAAAAATGCTGCGAAGTACGAAACTGCTGACAAGCATGATTGGGCGCACAATTATGCTTGGATGACTGGATTACTTCTCCTTGCGGACATCAAGGGAGGAGACTCATTAGAATCCTCACCGACTCAGAGTGCGTCTTCAAAGACGCGAAATATAATGGACTGGTCTCCTGCTCAGCTTGTGGAAAAGGCTCAGAAGCATTTCGAAACTTGTTCATCTTTACACCCCAGCCCCGACTCGCCCGAACCTCCTCAGGAAGAAAACAAAGGCGAGGAAGTCCAAACTGCCTTGGAGTATCCAGCTCTCCCTGCATTCTTGTCCCACTATGCACATCTTGTACTTGGTGTCTTAGAAAGCATTGAGTTGCCAGAAGAGCAAACTAAAAAGGCGGAGGAAATTGGCCTGATACTCGGTTCTGCAGCGGAGAAGCTGAGGGCGCAGCCGAACTTTAAAGGTCATCTTCTCGTCGAAAGTGACGTCAAGAAAGGCCTGGCACTTGTGGGAAGAATCAAGGCTGAAGCGTCAACTTCATCCTTAGTGGATGACGAGGATCTCGGCCATCCGTTAGTAGTCAAGGCTAGAATAGATTTAAGGGAATGTGAGCTGCAATATACAGGGTCCTGTCGAAGATCATGCTGACGCTCCTTCTAGGTGTAAACTTACTTCAGGAGGCGAGAGCATTAATTAGCGACACTCCAAAAACCTACCTCGTCGAGACGAAAACCGAAGAAATTAATGGAATTGTAAGTTCCGCGCCCCACCTTTGAATCTCCTATCGTTACTCAGGACGACTTTCCATATGCTCACAGCTGAAAGATCTCTGGTTTTATATCTATTTCATTACGGAAGATGAAGCTGAGCGAGAAGCGATTGAACAGAAGGCTAGTGAAGCGGGCTTCACACTTGGCAGCGACGATGATGGTGACGAAGAGGAAAAGGACGACCAAGCTAGCGGCTAGGCGGGGATTAGCGCGCCCCACTGACGAATATTTTCCATGACCAGGTGAACAAATCGACAATATTAATTGGCGTACTTGGGGCATTTGCATGAATGGAGCGGCATTTCTCAGCACTTCACACTAGCGTAGTCTGCAATCATCGTTGACGGCGCTGAGTCTTTTACCACATAACTCTGAGAAGCACCTAGGCTACATGAGAAACAGATGCTTATTCGGCAATTATGCCCTGCTGTAAATTGTCTCAAAAGCTTCTAGGACTTCAAACAAACACGGAATTTTGCATCCGGAGGCAGCTAAGCCGAATTCATTTGGATATATCCACAAATCGAGCAGCCATGGGCGAATCGAGAACTGAACTCTTAGCGTGGCTCAACGAGCTTCTGCAGACCTCTTACGTGAAAATAGAACAATGTGGGACGGGAGGCGCGTACTGTCAGATTATAGATTCAATCTATGGTGCGTTGGAGCGCTCTGCTAATCATGTCGCGCTCGCATGCTAATAAACCATCCTTCGATGTCATGTCATGCCGTGTATGCTGTGTTTGGCTCGTTCACCGTTAGGCGACGTGCCAATGTCTCGTGTCAAGATGAATGCGAAGCACGAATATGAGTTTTTAGCTAATTACAAAATTCTGCAAAATGTTTTCAAGGCGCATAAGATAGATAAGGTAGGTGGCGCTTGTTTGGGGGGCGATGACGCGCTTTGGTGATGTAGGTTCGTCATGATATCCAGCCAATACCGGTGGAGCGACTCGTTAAATGCAAGATGCAGTGAGTTTGACGTTTCGATCGGGTCCCTATTGTGGCATCGTTGCGCTCATTACGATCTTCGTATCGGGCGTCTTCTGCGACTCAAATGGCACTAAACCATATGTTAAGGGATAACCTTGAGTTCCTTCAGTGGTTGAAAAAGTATTGGGATCAAAATTATGGTGGCCAGCCTTACGATGCGATCGCTCGACGAAAAGGCGTTACCCTGGATACACCTGCTACTATTGCCCCTGTGTCACGACCTCCGGTAGTTGGCGCGGCAACGAATCGAGCGGCTACAAGGACACCTTCGGGAGGTGAGCGCCTCAGTGCTTTTTTTGTACTGAGTTTCTCCATGACCCACACACCTTGCCTCATCCTGTCAACACCGTGCCATTTGCGGCGATAGTCCGCGCCGGGTCTTCAGCTGCATCAAACGAGTTCGTTCTCAATTTGCAGAATCAGCTGCGTGAGGCGAATGTCCAAATGGAAGGGCTGGAGAAGGAAAGGGATTTTTACTTCGCGAAGGTGAATGGTTCAATGCCTCAATTCAGTGATGATCTTATAACACTCCTTGTCCGATAAGTTACGGGATATCGAGATCTTGTGTCAGAACCAGCTAGAAGTACTTGAAGCCCAAAGTCAGGATGATCCAACTTTAAGGGAAATCCAAAAAATCTTATACAGTGTAAGTGAATTGATATACTCCTTCTCTTGAGAGGCTGATCGATCATTGTTCCTGCGGTGTGCTTCACGATGGGATCCGGATGTTGCATGGCAGACCGAGGTGAGATCGACTGGATTAGGGCATTTCGCTTGATCGATATTGATCGATATTTGTTGTCTGCTGCTTTTGCTAGGAGGGTTTCGAAGTGCCGGACCAGGCCCAGCCAGGTGCGGAGGAGGAAGAGACATTCTGAGAGGACTCATCATCAGCAGGCAATTGTCTTTGTTTGTTGGACATGCTGCGTGCCGGCAGCACGTTCGGGTTGTTTCTGCGCATTCATTTATCATCCGTCCCGCTTTTTGGAACCCGGCTTCACATGTCACTTAACACTTTTTTTCGGTCGTTCTCTCGATAATTCTCAGCTATACTACGTTTTTTCATCTCTCATCCCCTAAACCGCTGTGAATAGTAATCACTACTACTGTGTTTTTTGAACCCCGAAATTGGATGTTGTTGAGATCACAGGGTGATGAAAAGATTCAGGTTCGAAGTGCAGGTTTGCGATGACTCCGAATTCGGATAATGCCGAATGAGTTAATTTTTGGAAGGCCCTGGTTGTTTCTTTTCCTTACCTTCCCTCCGTCCGCAACAGAGGGGGATCATTTCCATTTTCTTCCTTTTCCTCACCGCGTTCCTCTGCGTAGGTAGCCCCCTTCGCAATCTGTCATCGGATCCTGCTGGGCTGTCCCAAAAGATCTGTGCACTGATTTGCAAGTCAGGTGTAACCTGGACACAGACAACACTTCGCCTTTGACCCCCCTTTCCTCCCTCCGACTCTTGTGCAGCTATCTCCTCGTTCGCAGTCCTTAATTGGACCCGGCGTACTTGGCTAGCAATCTCCAACCCTGCGTTCTTGAAGATCGCATATCCCCGCTCGGCCTCCTAGATTTTTCTTCAATTTTCACGACTTCGATACGACTCCACTTCGGCCCCTTTGATCACTCAATCCACAGCGATCAACGGCCATTCGGCAAGCAGTCCGAGTCTGTTTGTCGCCCCGACTCGCAAGAGTCTCCTTTATCACAACGCAAGTTGCTTGAAATGCCTGTCCCAACGGCCTTGGCCCCGTCTGCAGCCATCAACGTAACCTCTCTCAAGAAAAGCCAGCAGCTACGCCCGCAGCCTCAGTCTTACCTGCAGCGTCGTGAAGCTGCGCACCCCAAGGGCATCGTCCACCCTCTTGCGTCTACATTTGACGACATTGATCGCCTCGTTCTGCCTCAACACGCGGCTATCATGCCACCATTCAACAGTGGTCATCATCGTCCTTTCACCGTTGCCGAGGACAACGTGCCCTTTGACGTCCTTTATGGAGCCAGTCTAGCTCCCCAAGAGAGGTACGGTGCTTCTCATCCCTACGTGCTGCATTCGGGCGCCGCCGTCGCCTCTGGTTTCCATATCACCCCTCCCAATAAGCGCCGGAACACTCCGAGTTGGCCTCCTTCGCCTCATGGTTATCCTCCTACCCCTTCTTTCGGCGAGGACAACTGCAGCGTGGACGAGCATGACTCGTACGTGCGCAGGGAGTACAGGGTAGTCAATGACCGATTCCGCGAGACTTCCGCTAATATGGCGCCTTGGCCTCCCGTTCCCGGTAACTTGCCTCCTTACCCCCAGTACGAGGATCTGCCGGTTCACAAACACCAGCATGTTTATGGCTCATTTGCACCTGCTGCGTCTGAGGTTCCTATGCCCGACATCGTGCCCGAGCAACTCGTTGTCCCTCGGCCTGCTCCGGTGACCCGGGGATTAGAGGCTCTGACACCGCCGAACGATGACCCTCCAACAAACTTTATCCCATCACCATCTGAGCTGCTCAAAGCCGCCAACGAACAAGCAAGGGCTAACGCGGGCGTCAATCTCGCGGATTGGATGAGTGACAGTGTTTGGGACGTCTGCTCCTTTCTAGTCTCAAATGAGTAGGTCTATTTTCGTTATGTCTCCTACCGGAGGTACAAGTGCTCATATGTTTTCTAAGTGCACCTCCATCACCAGGTCGAGTGTTTCTCCGCCGGTCCCCTTCGTTCTCTGGTGGCATGGTGCCTCCTCCTTTTCGGCGGTTTGTCCAACAGACCATCTACCAAGTCTCTGCATCTGCCGCGTCGTTGATATTGGCTCTTTGGTATATCCATCGTCTTCCCATTCGTCGGACCGACTATGACAATTTGTCCGAAATGGAGCGTGCCTTCCGCGACGACCTTCTTTCCTCTCGGAATGAGATCCCTTGGCGGATTCTCGTTCTTGGTCTTACGTTAAGCAATAAGTGGTTGGAAGATAATACCTTCACAACGAAGACTTGGTGTGTTTTTAGTTCCTGATTCAGGTCCGAATCACTCTGATACTGGTTTGAATTAGGCACGAGGTCACTGGGCTAAGCATGGCATCCATGCGCTCACTTGAAATGAAAGCCCTTGCTATTTTTTCCTGGGTACTTGGGCCGCAGCCCGATGAATGGCTGGCATGGATAAGTCAACTCAGGCGACGGGAGCTGTCTACGATTCACACGATTGGTAGTGAGAGGGAATATCGCCTTGCGAATGGTGCCGTGAAGAAGCCCGTTCAAGTCTTAGACGAGCTCATTGCCGAGGTTAACGGTAATGATATCGAGTTTGACACCTTTCCTGCCGTTACGTCCTGTGAATCACCCCTCCTCGATGATCTGGATCCTAGTGTAGGATGTTTCGATGCATCCCAGCAAGAAATTCATCCTCGTTTAGAGATGCTTTGGCATACTCGTACTGTGTCATTTCCCGAGACTCGTGGCGAGTTTAGCGAGACCTTGAACCGTGATGCTGGGTCGTGCCGTCCTCACACCATTCATCGTGACCTTTTCCCTCGAATCCCTGGTATCTGGGATCCTACCGATACGGCTTTGGACTCGCCTCAACCACCTAGACCCCGTCCATCTTACGAGGCAGTTCAGCGACCTCCTGTTGCTCCTATTCCCCCCGCTCCCACCTGTCATCAGCAATATCAACACTCAGGGTTCGTCGATAATACCCCTTTCGCTTCCGCCGAACCCCTAATAGATTTCCATCCCCACCATCGCCGGTACAATACGCCTCACGAAGTTGGTAATAACTTGGCATTCGCAGAGGGAGGCGGGCGAGTTTCGAGGTGGTCCAGAAAGGGCAATGATGAAGTAGTGATGACATCTCGTGGAACCACTGCCACGCGCATACCGTTCCTCCCTTTCGAGTCTGACCGATCTTGGTACGACACCACCCGTCTACCTCGTAGTATTGCAGAAGGCCATCACGTCGGCGGACCTTGGAACGCCCTTACTGGTATGTTTCGAGCAGTGTGAGCTCAAATTACAGTTGCCGCGGTCCTTCTCGCCACCTCTTGTGTTGCTCGGACAATCCGAATACTTCCGTTGTCGTCCATCTTCTCGTTTATTTCGTCTCTCTCAGTTCGTATCAGCTATTTAGGATTGTTCACCATTCAGTTTCAATTATCGCATCTGATATCCTCTTCCCGTGGCACCAACGTTGACAGACCATTCGACACCGACTCTCAGGGTCAAGGCCACTTGACATTGTTGTACCGCAGCAGCGCTGCCGGTGCAAGTATTTCCGAAAAGGTCTTAGATCACGCTGCCTCAACACTGTATGAATTTTGGTCATTGGTGCTTCGATTCCCCGCATGCCTCTAGTCTCTCTTCTGTGTTTTCTCTTTCGCTCCAAGCACTAATTATTGCATCGGGCCGCCCTTCGGTTTTGTTCAAATATCGACCTCTGGCTTCCCTCATCGATTTCTTGTGGGGCTCATTCGAGATGGACATTATAATGTGGAGAGTTTTCACTCGCGCATCCCAAGGATTCATATGCTCCAACTTTGGGACCAGGTCGTTAATCGTCGGCCGAAATCCAGCGGGTTCCGAAGATTTATCACCGCGGTTCTCCATCTCGTCACACTGGTCGTTTGGCTTGCGCGTACATAAACAATTCCTTTTTCCGCTTGTTCTTCTGTGTTTTCCCCCCTTTTTTCATTTTTGCCTCTGCCCCATTTCCAGTCCTCCTGAGCGTCTGTGAACGCGGAACTCATAGACGATAACGACTCATCCATTATGGTTCCCCTTTTTCCCGTTGCTTTCCACCGCTTTCGTTCAGCGATCTCCAATCACACACATTTTAAAATATGTCATTTTTCCATTGTAACGAACCAGCCAGTTCTTTTTTCCCTGGTTTTTGTTCTCTCTTTGCTCTATGGCGATTTTGGCTTATCCCTCTCTTTCCTTACTCCGCTCCTTGGTCTCTAACGCCTTCTCGTCCGGTGTCGATTGTCACCTTATATCATCCATACCATCTACTTCCAACTCCCACACGTTCGCGCGGATCTCCCCATGCATTCTTTCCGCCTGTCCTCAGTTTGCATTGTTGGACGTGCACGGTCAACTGCGGTTATTGCCCTTGCAACGTTATCTCTTCATGTGAGGGAGTGTCCTGATAATTTTTACTCTGTTCCAGTGACTGGGCATGGCAACTCCAAGGAACACTTCCCTGACAATTCCATCCGATGGCCAACCATTATTATTCCCTCTCCCATCTGTCGTTCGCCGACATTTCCTACCACAAACGTGATTCGAGAAAATATACAAAAAATTAAATCAAACTTGTCCCTTGTTTTGCTTCTTCACCCACAAAACACCCGTCCCTATATTCCCATCCGCTACCATCGTCACCTCTTGTTCTTCGGTGGCAAATGTTGATCAGTTTGGATCGACATTTGCCTCATTTATGCACACTAAAAACCTTTTTTCCCCCTCTTTTCTGATTGTTCCACGAAATGGTTCAATGCCACCCTGTCACTGAGGCCTTGTTCCTTTGAGCCTTCCCTGGCTAGCTTGCGCCCGTACGATTGTTACAATTTTGCCTTTGCAAACCATTTCCCCTTATCCCGCCCCTAATTTTTCCCAAGTTACGTTCGTACTTGCGCATGATTTAATGATATCTTCCGTGGTTCATCAAGATGTTTCGTGTGCTCGCAATCGTTCAAGTCTGCCTACAACGTAAGCGCCCTTGTCCTCCAGTGTAATGTTGTTGCTATATTGGTGTTAGCCGATTTGATGTATTGTCGCGCCAAAAAGGGAAATATGTAAATGAGCGCCCATGAACGGTTTGTTGGGCGCTTCGAGTACGAGCCGCTCGCGTAAAAGCTGGGAATGAAACAGCTTGGCAAGGTGAATCGTAAGTTGGGCCGCACGCGTTCATCGGTGCAACTGGGAAACTTAAGCTCGATTACCTCAATCGACCACTTATTATATTGCGTTGCTATTTTTATATCTCCAACTAATTATGTAGCGTATCAGGGGAGCGGGAAGCTCATGATGATTCGTCAGTTCGAACTTCAGGCAGCTTGAATGCAGAATAACAGACACGCGAAATGCCAAGAAAGGCTATCCACAAAACCGATGCTGGCTTGGGCGCGAGACAAAGGCTGTTGGTACAGTTTGTCGGGAGGGATACAGTAGCTAGCAGAGGTGAAAAAAAAATCGTTGAGCACATGGATCCTTCATAAATAACAGAGCCTGCATTTCTTATGAATCTCCAGAAATATGGTAGACTGGTGCCTCGCCTTGCGACCCATCATAACGGCTAGAACTGATGAGGATACAGTATGGCCATGAGGATGCAAACTCACTCTTCAGTCCATGATGGTCACTGGTGGGACCCCCTCCTCGCGTTTTTTCAGATAGAAACGAACAAATTGGTGGGTATTCCCAGCGAGAATGACTACTGCGACAAGCTGTCCAAAATTCCACACATTCTCGCCGGGTTGTACGTGATTGAAGTGGACGGTGAGTTCCAGCGAGATGACACCATATGCGGTACCGATCAGACGCCCGAGGGCGCCACAGAAATGCAGAACCTTGTCAGCATTGGCCACGGCCTGGGGAGTTGGCTGTAGTCTTGGATTTTGTGATGAATGTTGATCAATATATGGTGTTGTGGGAGTGTCAAACGTCGGATGTGGGTTAGTCCCCGAAAAGTATGGAAGCTCGAAGGACGGATCCCGCTCATGCGCCGCTTGCCGGGTCAACGAGCCCTTGAGCAAACGAAAAATGGACTTGATGATCCAAGGCGTTGCATACAGCGCTGCCAGATTTGACACGCCTATTACCGCGATCCCTAATGCCCTGAACCAAAGGGCGGTGACTCGAACTTTCCAGGCGAGCATGAGATAGATTACGCTGTCATTACACTCTGGGTCGGGCCCGAATCTTGGAGCGTTCACCATAAGATATACCGCCCAGGCAGAATGGACAGTCTGAAGAATCCATATCTAGAATGTACAACATGTTGACCTGTAGAGATGTGATATCCATAATAAACGTACCGTCACCCAGTAGAAAGCCAGTTGCTTTGGGGGAGCGCGGTAGTATAGAGGGTGCACGAATAATATTATCCCGAAATAACCATTAATATGGGATATAATAAGGGCATGAAAGAGATCCAGTTTTTTCGATACGGTTTGCACAATTGCGACAATCTAATCACTGGTCAAGGCGCGGTTGTTAGCGTGGGTGTGCAGAACCCACCAGCAAGGCTAGCGCGTTCACACCGGCGCCCTGAGCCAAAGCATCGCACAGCTCCGTATAACCCCTCCCAAATCGCAGCAAGGAGATAATAGTGCTGGTAGCATAGAAAGAGACTCGTATACCGATCCCAGACACGTTGGGATTAGGCTCGATGCTACACATTCTCAGGGAAGTGGATGAAAGACAGGTGTGCAGGTATCAGCGTTTTGTATGGGCTCGGGATTTAGAAAATATGCCGCGAGGGCACTGGCTTGCCTCGATGTCCTATATGCGGACTTGGGTTTGGCGGGTTGAGCACCCGAATAGCCCAGTATTTCGGGAGGCCAAGTTTTCAAATTTTGAGGAACAGGTTCGTAGTTAATTAATACAAAAAGGGGATACCGCTTCGGTGCGGTTGTTATCTCAATTTGCATTCCGGAGTGGAAATGCTTCGAGCCCAGTTTCGTCCGCCGATTTCGAGTCCGTGAGCGCAATATCTCAGCACATATGTCCCGAGACACTAGAGTTACGGTTTTTGCATCTTTCAAGGCGATTCTGCATAGCTAAGCTGGTCTGGAACATCATGGATGCTGACGAAACTGCGACGGAATGCGGTAACATTTTAGCGATTTAAAGCGGTAATCCGAACTACTTGATGAATAATGAAAGGATGGGACTGTTCACCTCGTCGAGGCCAGAGCAACTGCGCTTATTTCACCCGTCCTAACCCTCCCCTCCCCCAACGTGGAAGTGCTGCTTTAATGAATAGACACCCTTCGTGGTGCACAATTCAATACTGCGGAGAATTAATAGGAAGGAGTCGTTACATATAGGACCTTCCTCACGATAGGTGATGATCAGGCACGGCGTGCCACGAGTGCGTCACAAAGTGGAGCTCCACTGCCACAGCCCAGTGACCCTGTGCTACGGCAAGCCATTGATGCGCGCTGACATCATTGAGTGCGGATCCTGACGATTTTCACACTTATATGTCCCTTGCCTTTTGTACGACCGCGAACCTAAGGCTCATGGTTATTAGATACTGCTTGCCTGGGTCGTGACCCAACACCGACAATGGGCCTGCCGTGGTCTCCTGGGGTAAGTAGTGTGGGTACCTGATGCAAATTCACCCATAAATTATGAAATCCCAGACTCACTGGTCTTAGCTCTAGCGTTGTGTGTGTCGGCATTTGTGTCCTGAACCCAAATGGGTCGCAGTCGATACTGGGTACTTCCGTGATATGTAATTGCCCCTCACATTCAGTTCCTTCACTTGCCTTCGAACGCCTCAAGCACATACGTTGACTGTCCTGCCAGCTTCAAGTCCATGGATAGGCAAACCTCATTACAAATAACTTATTTTGGAGGCTTTTCTAAATAAAGCAATTCCCCGTCACGGTGAACCAGATGGGCTCAATGGTAGCGCCCCTCCAGCCCAACTGGCAAGGGATTTATTCTTTGGGAATAAATCGCGTCGACTACGTGGAAATATCATGACTCATTTGTGTTCCATCCCTCGTGGTATTCCCTTAAACCATTTTTACGCCGCTCTAATGACCCTTGACCCATGTTATGGGAGATCTTCTCCACCGGCCTGGCACACGGATTGAAGGGGCTTCCTGGACTTTCTTGTCCTCTCGGTCTTCTTTGACATACGCGAAATTAGGTAGCAACAAGGTGAAAATTTGCTCTACGTTCAATGATGAAGATGTCCTGGTGGCTGGTGCGGTGGTGTTGACGGTTTGGATCACAAAACATTTCCCTCTTGCAGCCGCCGAGTGCCGCATAGCATCGAGCGCCATGCATCGACTATGACTGCTTAGGTGTTACTAACGGGAGGAATCTTGCATAGGTAGTAGTCAGACCATACAGTTTTAATTATTGATTTGAACTGCCGCTCGCAATCCCGACTCTGGCTCGATGGTCTGGAGTGGGGGAGGCGGATCGTCATTGATATATGGTCAAACTTGTTGTGCCCGTTCGGTGTCCAGTCGTTCCGAGCGCGAGGTCGGGGACTGCCGCTCGCAGCGCTGAACTACACCATACGAAGTCCTCAGGCTTTGCGCTGACGCGCCATACTCGCCGATTGTCGAATTCACCAGTGAGGGAGCCAGCAATGTTTTCATTCTTGCCACTTGTTGAGCGTTGCGACAATTTCCGCCGTGTGGATGAGGGCAGTGAAGTCGACAATCCCATCCCGTTCTATGTTACTCCGCCACAAGGGGTCGAGGTCAGGATTGGGTGGATTCGATCCCCAGTGGTTGACGTATTGCAGCAGAAAACAGGCAACCCCGTATTTGATGTGACAGGTACTGAAGCTTTGATAGTTAATTTTGATATCGTCGAATCCTCTGAATGTTTGCATGTACCAGGACGGGAAGTTCGTTTTGTCCGTAATCTTGACTCACCGCGTAAGCGTAGCGACGCGCTTGATGTGCTATGCAGAGAATGGCGCAACAGCGGACTCTTCAGCGATGTCATCGGCGGGTCACTCTGGAGGGATGAGCTTTATCCAATCTACTATGACCCATTTAAAAGGACGGGTTCGGATAATACAGATATCGCATTTCTTCTCGAGCGTGCTTGTTGCACTATTTTCGGGCTCGTAACATATGTGAGCAAGGTGTTCTCTTCGAAACACCTAGCTAATGATCAAATTGTAGGGCTGCCACATGACGATGTACTTGGAGGGAGAGCAGAAAATATGGGTCCCAATAAGAGCAAAAACTAAAACGTCAGCAATCACTTGTGAAGCTGCTACGTCGCTATTGACAGGATGTAATTAGTTGGCCGGGTTGCCCAGATAACACCGTTGCCGGTGGAATACCGTATGGACTGACTCCAACAGACGCATTGGTGAAAGAGTGCATGGAGGAGGCTTCGCTCGAAGAAAGTTTCGTCCGCAAATACCTCCGGGCTACCGGAGCAATATCCTATTTCTTCCAGTGAGTGACCGACAAAACATCGTTAGTGTGCCACATACAGGTGCGGGCTCCTATCAGATCGTCGAAGGGATGGCTCAAACCAAAGACGCAATACGTCTACGATTTGGTTGTGCCAGTAGGGGTGGATGCCCCAGAACTTAAACCTTTAGATGGTGAAGTAGAACGGTTTGAGGTCAGTTCAGCTCTACCCAACACACACCTTCTTGCTCCATGCCTTTATTAGCTTCTTTCGGTGGACGATGTGCTCGACAAACTTAGGAAGGGTCTGTTCCCGCCAACCTGTGCTTTAGGTATGTGTATTACTCACGAAGATCAATAAAGTGACCCGGTTCGCAGTCTTCATAGACTTCTTTATCCGTCATGGTCACATCACTCCTGAGTCGGAACCAAACTTTGTCGAGATTCTTACAAGGATGCATGGCCGATTTGGTTTTGACAATTATGTCTGTGCTCAACATCCACAACTTTGTTTTCATCCGTTTGGTGATACCTATTTCCACAAAGCAGTCTCCGAATGAGGTCTAAATTGTAGCTAGTAGACCGATCTTGTGGCGTGGTACAAGCAATTCGAACTGCCGTCTTGTGAAATCTTTTCCATCACAAGAAGATGAGCTACATGACTGCTTAAGGGAACGATTCTGGGAATCGCCTCTGCAACTCGGCATATGTATCCACGGAGGTCTCTTTGAAATCTCGATAATTGATCCCCAGGATTTTCTTCGACTTTGCGTTGTCCATGATGGCCGCATGTGGAACTGAAGTGTCCTCCCGCGGCTCACGGGGAGGGACTTTATATCTGGCTTCAATCAATGCATCGACTGGTGAACAGAGTAACGTTTTCGCGGAGTGGTGAGAAATTCCAACATCAAATCTTCCATACGAGGAAGGAGGACAAGAACTTACTCGATTGCTGGTAGAAGAAAGGTGCGCTGGATATAATAATGCGCTCTCCACCTGCCTCTGGTACCTCTAGGGCCAGGACATGCGCAAGAGCGACATCTCGGACGTCCACGAAATTGTTAGAAAAGAAGTCCAGAGTGCCATTGAAGATACAGTGACGGAACAACGCGATAGTTGCATTCAAGGCAGACACATCCTTGACCTTTGAATCGAATTAACCAAGAGTAAACGTCCCAGGTTTTCTCTATATTTGCTCACCTCATGTATGATCGGCTACAAGTGAATACAGCTGTAGATCAGCGCCAGAGAACGGGCGGTTATGCACTACACCGACGCACCCCAAAGACCTGATGCAGCAAAACCCAGGTCAACTCCAGCCAATGATCTTTAGAAACGAAAAGCGCACCACACTAGGCAAGATAGTAGTCAGATCAAAGTGCAAGCCCTTATTTTCGTTAATGAACTTCCAAGCAGCTTGTTCAGCCTTGGTCTTGCTTGTTGCATACTTCTGCTCTCCTGGTGCATTCGTTCCCTCCCGCTCGATGATTCCCTCAGACTTCGAGTTCCAGTCGTCCTGTTGAAGCAAAAGCCTCAATATCGCTAGGGGGAATCATTGTTCGTCATGCTTACCTCCGTGAAGGTGTATGATGGGACATCTTTCGATTCCAGTATGGATGCTATGGAAGATGTAATTACTATTCGCTTGATGTTGTGCCTGGTCTCCATTTGATTAGGAGTGCCCTTTGAAGATGACTTGCTCCATACCCAAATTGTTGAGCGCTTCGAAGAATCCCAAGAGTCCCCTCCACGGCTGGCCCAATGACGGATTGAGGATCGCCAGAGACATCCATGGGTGTGGCAGCGTGGATGATGGCATCAGGGTTCGTGGATTTCACAGCTTCGTCGAATGCATTCTCCTGTAACACCATTTTTCACTATTCGAGCCCTAAATGAGTGATAACCAACGCACTTCGAGATTTTTGGCGACAACAAATTCAAATTTATCTCCAAACTGCTTCTTCAGATAGTCTCCCTTCGGCGCTGACCTCACCGTTCCGATGACGTTGTAACCTCGATCGATGAGAACTCGGACGATCCAGGCGGCAATAAAGCCATTTGAACCAGTTACTAGAACCTTGGCTGGCGATGTGAGAGAAGGCATCATTCCAGACAAAGAGCACAAAAGATAGAAGTAGCTGCAGGAGGAGAGTCGATTGCGACCACAATCATCCAATGTTATAATGATATCGAATTGCGATCAGGACGACTTACATACGTAAGCCTTCTGATATCAATAATCTATCAATATGTTCATCTTCGCACCCTGGCCCAGGGAAGACCATATCCGCTGCTCAAGATGGGTGCACACTTCCCCGAACCGTAACGGGGCTCATTGATGCGACAATCTCTTGCTGATATCATTTCTATCTTACCAGTCTTATTTCACTTGATGGGTAACTGAATTGCTTGGTTGCTGCATTTCAAGCTGTGGTTTCTCTTGATATTTCTAGTGATATTTCTAGTCACAGAAATAGTAGTCGTGTACTTTCTGTTGGAGATCAGCGCATAGTTTCTCCTTTCGGAAATGTCCGAAAGCGAGCTGCACCAGGATGCTTGCGTCGTTTGGAATGTTGGCAGGGCCATCAGGATCAAGGTCGTCGCCAAGAGGGATGACAGGAGGGCCAGCTGGGGCAACTGGAACAAATGACGGCGCCCTTGACGAAGGTGGCGGAGGAAAAGGTGCGAAGGGTTCGGGGACTGCGGTGGCATCGACGTGGCCTTCCACTTCAGCTAGAGATCTGATGAACCGGAAACGGAGCCCGATTCCCAACCAGCTGCATCAGCAGCTGCCTTTTCCTCGTCTGACAATAATTCGCTTTCATCGACTATGTCGTCATCATTTTCGCTGGCTAGGTCGCCTCCACCGTTGGCGGGTTCGGGCATCCCTGTTGGAGGAACCGTGTGGACGAGTTTTCGTACAGCCACATTCCCACATCCGAGCGAGGGAACTCGCCCGGACAGCCACATTCCCGCAGTGGCGTGACTACTTGGTCACAACACCTTTTTCTTACTTATTTTGGTCACTTCGGACTAATCCGCGAAGGCCACAAACTACATTCAATCTTTTGAATTAGTTTCCCTTTTCCTCAGTTCTCGCACATATTGCTTGAGACTGAGGTTAGTTACAGTTCTCTCACTTCTATATGTTGTAACTTACTGCATTTTTGAGGGAATCTGTCAATTTCCAAGTGAATGGGGTATCAATATGTTTGTCAGAAATCAGCTCAAAAATGATCAAATTTTGGGGATTTTTTATTTTCGATACAGTTAGGATTGTATTGTAATATAGTATGTTAGCGCTGCACTGCCATTCTAAGCTGCCATGTTTGAGCACTTTTAGGACTGAAAATCATTATTCTAACAATCATCTAAGCCAAATGGCTAACTCAGCTGGGGGCTCAGATAGAACAGATGAAGTCATTGGATGTGGTTGTTGTATATGCTTGCTCCTGAATATTCTTTCGACACTGAGAGCAGGGATATAGAGTACCTTAGAAAGGGACATTAGGATTGAAAAACAGATCTGGAGCATGTTACATACTTAGTGCCTCAGACAAAGAAGTCCCAATGACATGCTCGGGTACCAGGTGGTGCCTGTCAGGGCACACCGCTCTGCTCCATGCCGCACCCTCCCATTGCTCCTCTTTCCTTCTCCTCCCTCTTTCCCTTTCTCCTTTGTCTCTCTTCTTTCCTTTCTTTCTTTATATGGACGACCTCTCCCCTTACCCATGTGGCACAGATGTGTCCGACGCTGAGTACTCCATGTGAGTACTGCATGTCAGGGACGTGTCCGGGGTAGAGGAGGCCCGGGTGAGATGTCCGACACTAGAAGTCTCGCAGGGTGTGGAGTGGGCATGCATACTGGTGGGCCCGGCTCAGGAGACAGTCCCTGGCCACTCAGACTGAAGTGGAAAAGGATGAGAAGAAGGCTACTTCTTCGGTTCCCACTTCAGGTATGTTTATATACATGCGGCTTGGGTCACATGATGGGTGCCATGTCATCCTCGCATACAGCCGTAGTCACCCGGGTGTCCCCATGGGGGATCCCAAGGGCGTCCGCTGTGAACACGTGAGCTGGACATAGCGGGGGTCGCCTGGGGCACCCAGGCTGGGTGTGTTGTGAGCACGCTGCAGGTGGGTCAATGGTACATTGATACAAGGAAAGGTCATCTGTGTAGAATAAAGATAAAATAAAGAGAAAGTGAAATAAATGAAGAGGAAGTGAAATGGAGAAAGAAAGAAAGAGGAAGGAGGGAGGAGGTAGGAGAAGGCTGGGTGGTGGGGTACCGGGTGAAGTGGGGCCGGGTGGGGCTGGGTCAGGGGGGTGTGCCCTGACACTGCACCACCAGATATGCTGCACATCCTCATTTGTACTTCTCCCCTCTGACACTCGGGATCGCCTGCAGAGCCATCCACGATAACCCAGCTCCACCCAGGCTGATGTGGCACCCCCCACATCAGCAAACCACCGAAGTTGATAGAAATGATAGGAATCATTTTTATCGTGATATCATTCTAGAAGGCCCCCTGATTACAAGAGGCCATATCGAGTCAATTCCAACTTAAAATTCAGGGGTGATTGCAGTGATATTTCAGATTTCACGATCTCTATGTACTGTGCATAAATACATAATACAAAATGTAAACAAAGTTGAAGGTGTTGGAATATCAACAATCGGTTCTGACGACGGAGTGGTGAGGACGGTGTTGATTGTTGGTGGCGGAAGTGAAGTTTTGGGGCACGTCTTTTGCACCCCATTTTTCTTCTTTATGCGACGGGCTCGCCACTGGTGTAGTTCGTGTATAAGAAGGGAGTTTTTTGGACTCCCTCTCCCTCAGATCTCTAACACGAGTCTGAGGTGAGATAGATTTTATTATTCTTTGCAAAACTGTCTAACTGTTGGCGCAGACACTTACGTGCCATAGGTACATACAAATTCTAGATCTCTAACATGAGTCTGAGACACTTATGCACCATAGCCTTATATTTAAAAGAAGGGGCAAGGCCCAGTTCATCAAAGGATTCCGGATGTGTGTCGGACATGGGGGGCTTGGGGAATGGTTGGATTCAGGAGTTGTGGGATGGGTGATTCTGCGAGTTATCAGGTCCCTTAGGTGATGAGGGATTAGTGCGTGAACATGTACTAATGGGTAGCACTCACCAGACATGGCTGAGCAGCTCGTACAACCTGTAATTATGCATAGAGTGCTATGAGTAACTTGGAAAATATGTACTATGAAAGAAATATAAGGGACCTACCTGGAGAACTAGAAGTGATGCATAAGAGCCACATCACCGTCACCAAGTGAAAAAAATGTTAAGTCCATGAAGCTATTCATTCGGAGCCAACCTGTGAAGTTGATCGGATGCAAATAGGCGTATTTCCTAACCTAGTTGAAGCCATGGTTTCACATATCATGCATGGGAAGGAAAGTACGTAATTGTACATTGAGATTGTTGTGATTGAGCTGCTTGAGTCTCAATTGATGCATAGATTACATTGGTATGACAAATAGAAGTGATTAAAGTGCTTCCTATCACTTTTCTCAACTTCGGGGGTTTGCTGATGCATGTGACCTGTTCCCACCTGTATATAAACTGAGCTGAAGCAGAACCGAAGAAGCAGCCTTCTTCTCACTACTGCTGTTATGGAAATGGAGAATCTTATGGTCCATGACAGGCAACCAGACCTTGAGGCCCCTTGCTATGGAAATGGGCCTAGACTCCTATAGACCAGGTACACAGGTAAGATATTTCTTACTTCTTCTCACTTCATTCTCTGCCAAACCCCATGCCAAGCTTTCCCACTGGGTTTTGGTGCTGGCTGGGGGATTTGTTGATTTCCAAGGGACTTCCCTTGGCCATTATAACATTTGTATTAGATAGATACAAGTCATATGACATGTATGGTAATTGCCAAGATGTTTTCTCTCATCAAATACATAACCCACAAACCTTGTACTGCGATTGTAACCATCACACCCTTGTGCCACCACTGTACATTCAACCTGTAACCCTGGAACCATGTCCACCTCCCTATTCATCCTTTCCATGACTAAACCGCAACGAGGAGGGCATTCCCATGCCCAACCTCCTGCTGCCCACTCCCACCAGTCCACCAGGTGGTTGAGCAGTCACTCCCATCCAACCAATAGTTCCCTATCAGGAACTGTAGCCTATCCCATCTCCTTAGGAGAGGGATATGGTCCAGGCAGCTCCAGGATGCCTGGCCACGCACCCATGGGTCCCACTTCCCACGGTCACCCACTACCGTGCACTGGTCCACCAGCCTGCTTACCCCAACAACTCCTGCTACCGGTATGCTCCCATGAGCGCCAAGTCACCGATAGCCACCAACTGGGTGACTCCCTCTGGGAGTCCCAGTATCTGTCAGGAATGGCTCTGAAGAGGTGGGGGTAGTGGCATGACGCTTGGCATTGACAGCCCAGGCAGTGGTGGGATGGTGAGACCGTATGGCAGGTAACCCTCTCTCGGGCTGATGTCCCTGTGCGGCTTTTTAGGCTGAAGCGGGAATGTATCGTTATTAAGGTGAAAAGCTAAACTAGGTTGAGACACTTGCCTGAAGCGGGAATGAGAAGAAGGCTGCTTCTTCAGTCCCACTTTGGCTAGGTTTATATACATGTGAAAATGGGTCACATGGAGGTGCCACGTCGACCTTGGACGAAGCCGGGTCATCGTGGGTGACTCCGCATTCTATCCCGGGTGTAAGAGAAGAGAAATACAAGTAAGGATGCGCAGCACATTCGGCATTGCAGTACCCATGTGGGGTGCTCGACATCGGATGTGTCCGTGCTACAAATATGGAAAAGGGAGAGGTCCTCTGTATAAGGATAGAAAGGAGAGAGAGAGAAGAGAAAGAAGAAAAGGAGGAAAGGAGAAAGAGAGGGCGGGGAGCGGTGTGGTGCGGCATGCCCTGACAGTATCCCACACTACCAGTATGCTCCATCGAGTGCCAAGTCACCGCTAGCCAACCACTCCTGGCACACCCACTACTAGCACGCTCCCAGGAGTGCCAAGTCCCCATTAGCAGACAGGTGGCTCCCTCAAGGAGCCCATGTTATACTCACTACTGGTACGCTCCCGGGAGTGCCAAGTTACCGTTGGCCAACCCTCAGGTTGTGCTTCCAGACACTCATCCCATTCCGCTCTCCCTCCAATGGCTATGCAGCCACCTCCATTAGTGAGCCAAACGGTTCAGGTTGGGTTCCCCAGAACCCATTCCTGTAACAACTGCTTCAGGCAAGTATCTTACTCCAGCTTAGTTTAGTTTAGTTTAGCCTTTCATCCTAATAACAATCACTACTGCTTCAGCCTAAGAAGCCAGACAGGGATGTGAGCCCGAGTGAGGGCCACTTGCTATACATTCCCGTTACTCCGCTGCTGCCCAGGCCGCTAGCGCTTGGGGCTATGCCACTACCCCCACCTCTCCTGCACTGTCCCTGACAGCAGAAGAAGGCTTCAACCTAGTCTCCCCTGCCTCCTCCAGCATGGTGACTGAGGAGCAGTACCAGGACCTGCTGACCAGGTTCCAGGAACTGCAAGCAATCCTCGAGAGCAGAATCCAAAACCCACCACCCGCACCTGCACCTGCGCCCGCACCCCAACCCAAACCCACAGCACCCAAAGTCACCACACCCACCGCCTTCGCTGGTGCGAGTGAGGACCTTGACCACTTCAAGGCGGAATGTGGGATCTATTTCCATGTCTGTGCAGCAGAGTTCCCCGACACTCTGTCCCAGATCCTCTTCGTCTTGTCGTACATGAAAGGAGGAGCTGTGGGAGCATGGGCAACACAGCGCATGATCACGCTGCTGATGGTGGAATTGCCTGCAATCACTATGGACGACTTTATGGCAGAGCTCAACACCATGTTCCAAGATCCGAACTGCAAAGCCACCACCTGACAGAAGCTCGCTGCCCTGTGGCAAGGTACTGACTCTGTGGGTGGGATTATCCAGGAGTTCGAGATCCATGGCCCCACCTTGTGGCTAGGTGACATGGGGCTGGTAGACCGCTTTGAACAAGTGATCAATGTGCGGCTCCATGAGAGCATCTATCGCCTGCGTCACATGCCAAGGACTTGG